TTTCTCTTTATTCCCTCTTACACCCAGCAGATTCTAGGTGGGTAAGATTGTTTTGGGTTTCTTTTGCAAACTTTTTGGCTGGGAAATTCTGGGAGTTGAAGGCCTCCCACCTGAAAGGTGGCATAGCAGTGCTGCTGAGGGGGGGGGGCACCCTGGGTGTGGGAATGGGGGGGGCTCAGGGCCCCACGGATTTCCCTTCTCTCCCTTCCTGCTCAAGGGAGCCCCCTCCCCCCAGGGGTGGAGCTCCCCCTTCACCTGGTTTGGCTTCCAAACTTCTTCCAGTGGTTCCTGGGAGTAGCCCTCTTTCCTTCCCCAAGGGACGGGAGGGGGGGGGCGCCGGGAAAGGAAACGGGGGGGGGGGGGGGGTCGTTTTCTGGTGACAGAGGGTGTGTGTGTGTGTGTGTGCGTCCCTGTTGTGCATCCCTCCACAAGTTGTCTCTTAAAAGAATGTGAAGGCAAAGTTGCTTTTGAGTCCCCCTATGGACGAAGCTCCCTCTGCAGAGACCACCGGGAAGGAGGGAGGGGTGGCTGGCTCAAAATCGCCCTCCTCGCCCTCCTTCGTGGCTGAAGTTTGCTTGGCTTTCCCGGAGGGAGGTTGTCCCTCCGCTGGCTGCTCGTCTTGAGGGCGACCCCCCGATTCAATATGTCCAGGGCTGGGTGTGGGTCAGAGGACTCTGGTTTCCAGGAAGTGGCGTGTGGCGGAGGAGGGCGGGAAGGACACAAAGGCAGCTGTTTATGGCTGTAAACTGTCGCTCAGCAGAGCCCCCCCCCCCCCCCCCGGGGTCCCCCTTCCTTCCGCTCCTCTACTCCGGAAATCAACCTTGAATTCAGTTCCAGCAACCTGGAACCAGGGAGAAGCTTCCCAAGAGGCAGGACGATCAACCAGGCGGGCAGCTGCCTCCAGAAGCTCCGACACTGGAGCCTTTCACGAAGAGGCTGGACAGGCCCCTGCCTGAAATGGTCTGGGGGTCTCCTGCTTGAGCAGAGGGCTGGACTAGAAGACCTCCAAGGTCCCTTCCAACCCAACTACTTGATCGTCTTAAGAGATGGCCCTGAGAGGATGGATGTTCCCAGTGGCAAGTTAAGTGGGGATGAATCCTCCTCCTCCTCCTCCTCTCAGAAAAGAGACCCTCCCCCCCCCATTTCTTTTGGGGGTCGCTGCCTGTGAGATGCCTTCAGCTATGCCCCCAGATTCCCTCCGCAGATAAACAGTAAGAATCGGTGAGGGGGCGGTGACTCCTGCAGAGAGGCAGCGATTAGGAGGACCCTGGAAAAAATCACCCCAGGGCTTATTTTCCAGTTAGGCCTTATTTTGGGGGGGGGAGGGAAATATGGTCACTAAATGCCTCCGTCTGGCTGACAACCTCAACGGGGGTTTATTTTGGGGGTGGGGGCCGGTCCTTCCGGTGGGAGCACCACATGGCCCGGAGTTCCCAGTGGGGGGGGGG